TGTTTATCTATTTATGTAAAGTATATATGTGTGTGTGTGTGTGTGTGTGTGTGTGTGTGTGTGTGTGTGTGTGTGTGTGTGTGTGTGTGTGTGTGTGTGTGTGTGTGTGTGTGTGTGTGTGTGTGTGTGTGTGTGAGTCCACCTTGGCAGGAGACTTTGTCTGCAGCCAGATCGTAGCCCTGGTCACACTGGCAGAGGAAGGAACCAATCAGGTTGTAGCAGTGGTGCTGACAGGGATTCTCCACATCACACTCATTCACATCTGAAACAAAAGCAGATGTTTTACATGCATGGAACTTAATATTGTAGTTTTATTGTTGACTATCTGAAGCTCTTCAAGGCTCTTGGCTTGCATAGCGAATACGAGTGGGTGTGAAATAATCAATTTACTTATATTTGTATCATTAAGTAGTTGCAGTTGCTCATCAGATGTCAGTTTACCATTTTATTTGATTATTTGTTAACAGTATAGCACTTTATTATAATAAACTCTTAATAAACATTTGCATTGAAGATCTGGCAACACGCAAGCTTCCTCTGAATAACAAGGCATTGAAAGACATTTTTTTTACAACGTAATGTTGTACACAATAAAAAACGAGTACACACATTACTTTTTAATGACTTACCAACACAGCTGTGGTTGTTGCTGGCCAACTTGTGACCTGCGTTGCACTCACAGTAGTATGAGCCCAGTGTATTCACACATCTGTGCATGCAGTAGTTAGTCAGGGCGCACTCATCTCTGTCTGCAAGGAAAAACAAACACACACAAATTCATGAAAATGTGAGTGGTAAGACACAATTCAAAAAGCAAATTTTTTAAATAAGTTGATAAAAGACTAGACAACATCATTTTCAAAGGCTTGACACCAGTTTTAGTCATATGGCCAAAAGACTGATTTTCACAATCGATTTATCTGCTTGTTATGTGAATAATGCTTCTCAAGTCCTTGCATGTTTTTGGCAGTTAAAACCCCAGAGATATCCAGATAGAATGATAAAAAAGCAGGAAATCATCTCATTAGTCAAGATAGTTGGTGATTGTTTTTCTGTCGTTTCACCTGCAGAGGAGAGTGTTTTGCGACAACAACTCACCAATACAGTGGTCTCCATTCTTCTGGTAGCCTTGAGGACACTGGCAGGTGTAGGAGCCTCTGGTGTTGTAGCACGTCTGTTCAGGACCACAAGTGTGTCTGCCTGTCGCACATTCATCTATGTCTGCAATAAACACACAAACACACACAGTGAGAGGAAGCCAAGTTAATGCCTACTGTACGCAGGAACATGTGGCAGACAAAGCAAGGCAACATGTCTGGACTATCTGAACTCTGTGATCTGCGATGTGTGAACTCCACAGACAGTAAAACAATTCTGTGATCACTGACACCATCACATCACACACATGTTCACACAGAGAGTAGGCGATTAAATAAAGAGGGCTTTTATTCAGAGGCTCCGGGTAAAGGGGAAAACACAGATCATATCTCCTGCTAACAGGACAGCTCTTTGAAGGGGGTGAGAGTGTGAGTGTGTGTGTGTGAGAGAGACAGCTCAACTGATAAGTCCTATGCTTTCTACCATAACGCCTCCCCTCTCATCAGACTTTCATCAACCCAAAAGCACACAGATCCACTTTCTATCCGACACCCCATCTTTGGAAAGTTACATAACATGATAAGTAAAAGTTTGATGTTTGCAGAAGAACTTGAAGAAGAAGCTTGAACGCAAAAATGAAAGATGCTACATTTCTTAAATCAGGTCAAACCATTTTACAAGCATACAATATCTCTGATGTAAACAACAGATTCATTGTTGACCAATTAAGTAATAAGCAAGATTTTAGAAAAGCCAAATCAAAAGTTACCAACTACAGTAAAGGTTTCAACGTTTTTTTTTTTAACTGTACAAACAGTTGATATTTAATCGCTTTCAGCAGACATTTGAATTTTCCAGTTTGGGCCACACAGCAGTGGAAATATTCATCTTTTTATCTTGAACACATTCTTCATTTTGGTTTGTTTGGAGTCAGAGCCCAAAAAAAAGTCTCACCATAAACCCCCCCTCACCCCCATTAACTTAACTTCAATCTTCCGTCCCCCCTACACACACACACTACAAATACACCCTTATTTTATACTCTCATCCCTGAGCAGCCGTCCTCCTGGGTGGTCTGACACAGCCCATCATATGCAGACAGCCAGTGGGCATCAGCATGACAGACAGTTATCCTCAATACCACACACAGGAAAGGAGGAGGGGGGGTATTATAACTGCATTATGAATCGACAAATGCATAGCCTAACAATAGTCAGAAAAACCTGACAATAGTACTAGACTCGGTCCTGCTTCGACAGACATTATGTTTGCATGATTTCATAGATTTTATTCCCATTATGGGATATTGTTAAACAACTTTTCTTAATGCATTAAGATTGTTAAATAATATCTTTAACATAATTATTTTAGTTATAGCGCAAAAACTGGTCCCAATATGTTGATTTTCTGTTGTTTTCACTGTTCGTTCAGTGTTCCATCTTGTCAGTTATCTGTGAAGCACTTGCACTACTGCGCTAATCCTTATGAAATCCATACAAATAAAGTTTGATTGATTTATCTCGCCATTCCCTCAGTTCCTCAAATGACCCATTTGCCAGTCCTAAAACTTCCACCATCCAGTAGGACTGGTGCTGTTGAGAAATTGGCTTGATTTGCTGCAGATGGGCCTTTTAAACTAAAAGGTAGACAGGCAAGTTGTGTTCACTTCTTAAAGGTAGGAAATGAAAGAGGGCTAAAATGTGTTAGACTATGGGGGCACAGTGATAAGATGAACTTAGTACATTAGGGACAAAAGCAGGGCTCATCTAAAAACTGCACGTGAGAGACAACAGGTGCAAATTGCATTCAGGGAGGAATGCAAAGAAGAGGCTTGTTGCTCAGTGACCCGCTTAGTGACAGACAAAGATAAAAGCCCTTTTGTTCTGGAAACTCTAACGCTCTGATGTGCCTTGATAGGCATCTGGGAAAGTGCAAACGTAAACAGCACCAAATGAGATACTGAACGCTTGGACTCCAGCAGTATCACATACTGACCAAAGAGCATAAAGAGATGCTGTTAAAAAAGCCCTGGTGCAATGGAGAGTCTAACTGCTGGCGAGGAACCTGGAGCATCCAGATTCAGCCTCTTAGATCAGGAGATACACTAAACCTGGATGTGGATGATTAGCTTGAGATTGGATTTGGCTTATTATTAAAGGTTGCATCTATCTGGGTGGCAAAATCAATACTGTCTAACGTCCTTCATTCAGTTAACGGTATAGCATCCTCGGGTTAGCTAGCAAGTAACTGAAACTGCCATACTAAACACAATGAGGTGAAACAACTTAACGAAACAACAATTGTTTGAGCTGTAGGCCTACTGTAGTTTGAACACACAGAACAGTAATGGGAGAAACCAACAATACAGAAGTCAGAGTATTAGCTAGCTTGTTTGGTAGCTAAAGAAGCCAACAAGATAAACCACTAGCTAACCCTTTATAGAAAAACAGAGTGAGGTGCTTGTCAGAGAAGAAACTGGAGGTGAAGTCCTGCAGAACCAATTAAAAATGTGAATAAATGTTAACATATAGTTGAAGCCAGGATCAAGCACTTAGTGTGAATCACAAACACGCCTATTTACTGGAGGTATTTGGTGATTCATTGAGACTGGAAATGCCCTGCCTTCTGGCAATATATTCAGACAAGTTACAGGCTCCCGGTTCCTGATCAGTCCTGTGGGATGATGTCGGGTTTCAAAGTGCCAAGAAGCAGACAACAACTGAGATGTGGGTGAAATGTTATGGTTTTAGTGACACAAAAAACTGTCACCGAACTGATAAACTAATAAAACGTTGCATTCTACAGCATAGGTAAGGTAACTTCCGGGATTGAAAAGTAAAAAAAGCTAATGCTGAAATGCCAGCAGGAGTTGCAAAAGGTAGACAGATTGTATAGAAGTCTATAACAACAATTACCATACTTCGCTAATGATTATAAAGAAGCTTTAGGGCGTGGCAAAATTGTGACTGACAAGGGGATACCACGCAGTGTTGTCTGGTACTGGTGCTCACAAAAACCCAAATTTGAGGATTAAAACCTAATCCACGAACAAATGTGTGAGATCACGGTGACTTAAACAACTCCCTGTAGTGTCTGGTCTAAAGCTCCAAGGCCCAACAGAAGGTACATTTGTCTTTTTATGATTTAAGTTTTTTTTTTTTTTTAAGTGACAAAAGTGATCAATCTATTAAGGGTAAGCAATTACTTTCTTGGATAAGATGAATGACCAATCAGATAGGTAGCA